AAGTGTACGATATTCATGAAGTGTACGATAGTCATGAAGTGTGTGATAGTCATGAAGTGTACAATAGTCATGAAGTGTACGATAGTCATGAAGTTTACGATAGTCATGAAGTGTACAATAGTCAAGAAGTGTATGATAGTCGTAAAGTGTAGTGTAGGTGAGTCATGAAGTGTACGATAGTCATGAATTGGACGATAGTCATGAAGTGTACAATAGTTATGAAGTGTACGATAGTCATGAAGTGTAGGACAGTCATGAAGTGTACGATAGTCAGGAATTGGACGATAGTCATGAAGTGTACAATAGTTATGAAGTGTACGATAGTCATGAAGTGTACAATAGTCATGAAGTGTACGATAGTCATGAAGCGTAGCATAGTCATGAAGTGTACAATAGTCATGAAGTGTATGATAGTCGTGTAGTGTAGGTGATTCATGAAGTGTACGATAGTCATGAATTGGACGATAGTCATCAAGTGTACAAGAGTCATGAAGTGTACAATAGTCATGAAGTGTACGATTGTCATAATGTGTATGATAGTCGTAAAGTGTAGGATAGTCATGAAGTGTACGATAGTCATGAATTGGACGACATTCATGAAGTGTACAATAGTTATGAAGTGTACGATAGTCATGAAGTGTAGGATAGTCATGAAGTGTACGATAGTCATGAATTGGACGATAGTCATGAAGTGTACAATAGTTATGAAGTGAACGATAGTCATGAAGTGTACAATAGTTATGAAGTGTATGATAGTCATGAAGTGTACAAGAGTCATGAAGTGTACGATAGTCATGAAGTGTACGATAGTCATGAAGTGTACGATACTCATCAAGTGTACAATACTCATCAAGTGTACGATAGTCATGAAGTGTACGATAGTCATGAAGTGTGCGATAGTCATGAAGTGTTCACGATAGTCACGAAGTGTACACGATAGTCATGAAGTGTACCATAGTCATGAAGTGCACGATAGTCATGAAGTGTACGATAGTCATGAAGTGTACGATAGTCATGAAGTGTACAATAGTCATGAAGTGTACGATAGTCATGAAGTGTGTGATAGTCATGAAGTGTACAATAGTTATGAAGTGTACGATAGTCATGAAGTGTGTGATAGTCATGAAGTGTACAATAGTTATGAAGTGTACGATAGTCATGATGTGTACAATTGTCATGAAGTGTTCAATAGTCATGAAGTGTATGATAGTCATGAAGTGTACGATAGTCATGAAGTGTACACGATAGTCATGAAGTATACACGATAGTCATGAAGTGTACATTAGTCATGAAGTGTACGATAGTCATGAAGTGCACGATAGTCATGAAGTGCACGGTAGTCATGAAGTGTACAATAGTCATGAAGTGTACGATACTCATGAAGTGTACGATACTCATCAAGTGTACGATACTCAGCAAGTGTACGATACACATCAAGTGTACGATAGTCATGAAGTGTACGATAGTCATGAAGTGTGCGATAGTCATGAAGTGTACACGATAGTCATGAAGTGTACACGATAGTCATGAAGTGTACCATAGTCATGAAGTGTACGATAGTCACGAAGTGTACAATAGTCATGAAGTGTACGATACTCATGAAGTGTACGATACTCAGCAAGTGTACGATACTCATCAAGTGTACGATAGTCATGAAGTGTACGATAGTCATGAAGTGTGCGATAGTCATGAAGTGTACACGATAGTCATGAAGTGTACACGATAGTCATGAAGTGTACATAGTCATGAAGTGCACGATAGTCATGAAGTGCACGATAGTCATGAAGTGTACGATAGTCATGAAGTGTACGATAGTCATGAAGTGTACGATATTCATGAAGTGTACGATAGTCATGAAGTGTGTGATAGTCATGAAGTGTACGATAGTCATGAAGTGTACGATAGTCATGAAGTGTACAATAGTCATGAAGTGTACAATAGTCATGAAGTTTACGATACTCATCAAGTGTACGATACTTATCAAGTGTACAATAGTCATGAAGTGTGCGATAGTCATGAAGTGTACACGATAGTCATGAAGTATACACGATAGTCATGAAGTGTACGATAGTCATGAAGTGCACGATAGTCATGAAGTGCACGGTAGTCATGAAGTGTACAATAGTCATGAAGTGTACGATACTCATGAAGTGTACGATACTCATCAAGTGTACGATACTCAGCAAGTGTACGATACTCATCAAGTGTACGATAGTCATGAAGTGTACGATAGTCATGAAGTGTGCGATAGTCATGAAGTGTACACGATAGTCATGAAGTGTACACGATAGTCATGAAGTGTACCATAGTCATGAAGTGCACGATAGTCATGAAGTGCACGATGGTCATGAAGTGTACGATAGTCATGAAGTGTACGATAGTCATGAAGTGTACGATATTCATGAAGTGTACGATAGTCATGAAGTGTGTGATAGTCATGAAGTGTACAATAGTCATGAAGTGTACGATAGTCATGAAGTTTACGATAGTCATGAAGTGTACAATAGTCATGAAGTGTATGATAGTCGTAAAGTGTAGTGTAGGTGAGTCATGAAGTGTACGATAGTCATGAATTGGACGATAGTCATGAAGTGTACAATAGTTATGAAGTGTACGATAGTCATGAAGTGTAGGATAGTCATGAAGTGTACGATAATCATGAATTGGACGATAGTCATGAAGTGTACAATAGTTATGAAGTGTACGATAGTCATGAACTGTACAACAGTCATGAAGTGTACAATAGTCATGAAGTGTACGATAGTTGTTGTTGAGTATCTGTTTTAGGCTTTCCTCTGGGATGTAGTCAACTTAGTACATTTCTCTATTCTGTGTAATGTGTTACATTATATTAGGTGTAGACATTAGTGGTTGGGTTATATTAGGAATAGGGTGCCCCCCAAGTGATTTTATCAAAGGCTAGGCACCCCAAAATCCGAATTGGGGTACCTCACCACGCATCCCAACATTTGGGACGCGGCTCCAACCTGGACCCACGTTTCTCAACCATGAAAACGCGGCTCCAGCTTGTGGAACCACGAATCCAACTTGTGGAATCGCGGTTCCACTAGTGGGGGCGATTCCAGGCCCACTTTGAGGGTTCCTCACGTCCCCACCTTGACTGTGGGCGACTTGAGCACCCAATAGGGCACCCCAAGTCTCTTGGGTGCCATTCTCCTCACCTGGACCAGCCCAAGTCGCCCAGCACTTCTCCATCTCTCTCTTCACCACAATCTGGGCCTACTTAGCCCAATATCTTTGTCATCTTTATTTACCCTTTTGTCTTACACTTTCTGGGACTCCTCTTGGAACATATCTTTACCAAAACCAACTTGTGCATCTTACAGCTATGCACATCGAGTCTACTTTTCTACAATATTCATGAAGTGTACAATAGTCATGAATTGGAGGATAGTCATGAACAAGGTGCAAAAAAACGGCATCCGTATTAAACGGTCCGTTTTAAACGGCCGTTTTTTACGGTGGGTTTTGGTAAAAAACGACGTTTTTTTGTTAGACCTTTTTTCATGTTTTTTTTTTTTTTTTTTTTTTTTGGTATAAAAAGCACGCGTAAACAAGTGGCCTGATTGCTAAGGCGGCCTGCATCGTTCTACGGGGTAATTAGCGGCTTTGAAACAGGTATGTGATGTCCATGCCCCTAGTCCGTCGCCTTCTAGGTCTCATTCTGCTCCTACTCCACCATCCCCCCCATCCTCCTCCTCCTAAGCGTCATCCACCTAGTCCTCCCCCCCCTTGTCCTCCCCCCCTAAGCGTTATTAGCTCGGCCAAAAACAATGTACACCGTATTATACGGTGGTACGAAAAAAACGGTCGTATAAAACGGCCGTTTTTTTGCACCAAACGCAAAATGCAACTTTTGACCGTTTTAATCGTATTATACGACCGTTTTATACGATCCCGTTTGAAACGGTCAAAAAAGGTAAAAAACGCCGTTTTTTTGCACCTTGGTCATGAAGTGTACAGTAGTCATGAAGTGTACAATAGTCATGAAGTGTACGATTGGCATAATGTGTATGATAGTCTTAAGGTGTAGGATAGTCATGAAGTGTACGATAGTCATGAATTGGACGACATTCATGAAATGTACAATAGTTATGAAGTGTACGATAGTCATGAAGTGTAGGACAGTCATGAAGTGTACGATAGCCATGAATTGGGACGATAGTCATGAAGTGTACATTAGTTATGAAGTGTACGCTAGTCATGAAGTGTACAATAGTCATGAAGTGTACGATAGTCATGAAGTGTACGATAGTCATGAAGTGTAGGATAGTCATGAAGTGTACAATAGTCATGAAGTGTATGATAGTCGTAAAGTGTAGTGTAGGTGAGTCATGAAGTGTACGATAGTCATGAATTGGACGATAGTCATGAAGTGTACAATAGTCATGAATTGGACGATAGTCATGAAGTGTACAAGAGTCATGAAGTGTACAATAGTCATGAAGTGTACGATTGTCATAATGTGTACGATTGTCATAATGTGTATGATAGTCGTAAAGTGTAGGATAGTCATGAAGTGTACGATAGTCATGAATTGGACGACATTCATGAAGTGTACAATAGTTATGAAGTGTACGATAGTCATGAAGTGTAGGATTTTCATGAAGTGTACGATAGTCATGAATTGGATGATAGTCATGAAGTGTACAATAGTTATGAAGTGTACGATAGTCATGAAGTGTATGATAGTTATGAAGTGTACGATAGTCATGAAGTGTACGATAGTCATGAAGTGTACGATAGTCATGAAGTGTACAATAGTCATGAAGTGTAAGATAGTCATGAAGTATTGGTGGTTTTTTTTGCCCTGATGCACACCGCCTGTCATGGCTGTGTGCCTTTGCTTGGCTGCCTCCTCTAAGCCATTGGGTGAAGAGAATCTCAGCTGCCGCCTTGGGCCTTCTTTTCTTGCAGAGACAATTGTGCCCTGATCAACTAAACAGCTCTGGCTCCGTCCCCCCCTGCCCTGCGAACAGCTTCTGGACCCCTCCCGCTCGCCTGCTCTTCTGCGAGCGCTCTACGGCCTCCTCATGCTGCTGCCGCAGGTGATTAACAAACACCGCAGCCTATATCTTCATGCATATCTTCATGGCCATGAAGATATGCATCAGTGTTTGTTAGGGACAGTTTGAGTCATCACAAACGGCATGCATGGGTGAGAACATGCGGCATGCTCTTTCCACGCTGCCCGCTTTGCACAACTTGAATGCTCCATGTACCTGCAACCAGCATGAATTTCTCCTTGTGACATTTAAGTCAATCCAATCACAATAACCCACTCTCCCTCGCTCCTCATCTCCCCTCTCCCCCTCTTCCCTCTCCCTCTCCTCCCTCTCCTCTCCCATTTCCCCCTCAACACTCATTCTTCCCCCACCCCCTCCCTCCCATCCCCCTCCCAGCATGGAGTTGCCTTCCGAGTGCTGCACACCCGCCTCTCCACCGTCCCCCTCCCTTCATGCTCCACCCCACTCCTTCCCCCATCCCCCCCCTCCCTCTCCACTCCGTCTCCTCCTACTTGCCTTACCTACCCACCCCTCTCCCTGCCCCTATCGCTGCTGCCACACTCCCCCACATCTCAACCCAACCGCCACCGCATTTTCCTCCAAGCCCTCCTCTCGCTCCTCCTCCCCTCCCCCCCACTCCTCCTCCCTCAACGGCCCGCTCCCGCACTCCCATCTTCTCTTCTCTGCCTCAGCAGCAGCAGCAGCAGCAGCGTTAGGTGCTGCCTCACAGCCTGTCAGCATTCCCTCACACGGTAACTCTCTTTCTCAGAACAGCAGCAGTACTGCCAGTTTAGCCGCGGACATGGGGGGAAGCCAAGAGGAGCGAGGTGGGGGACAAGGTACTGCTGCTGTCTCTGCGACTCCTGCTGCTGCTGTTCCTTCCATGCCCTCTGCTGCCCCAGCCTTCCCCGTCGCTGCTGCTGCCATGCGCAGTGCTTCTTTCAATGCCTTCACCCCTCCTGCTGCCACTGCCTCTGCTGCCTCTGCAGCTGCTACTGCTGCTTCAGCTGCTGCTTCAGCCCAAACAGCCTATGCCATGCGTTCTAGTGCCACAGATGGGGCGGCCGTTCCTCCATCATTTATCCCACAGGGTAATTTACCCTCTGCTGCAGCAGTAAGAGCGGGCAGCTGGTCTGGTGCCCCAGCAGCAGCACTGCCTCCTATGGCAGTGGCAGGAGGAGCAGGTATACCAGCAGGAGCAGCAGAAACGCCAAGTTTAGGCGCTGGTTTGGCTCGAGAAACGGCAATGGTCAATGGAGCTGGTATCGCCACTACCAGCACCAACACTGGCGCCAGCCCCGCCATCAGCATAGATGGAAGCGGGTCCTCATTAGACGGCCCGCCACTCCTCCGGATGTTCCTAGACGTGCAACGGAGACACAAGGAGCTGAGAGCGCTGCCAGGTGGCAGCACGGGATTGGGTCCTGCGCAGGGGATGTTTGGTGGAGCAATGGGGACTTTTCAGGGAGGAGGGGGGGGAGGAGTGGGTGGAGCACAGTTGTCATTGGCAGGTGGGGATGGATTTGGGATGGTTGGGGGTGATGATGGGCATTCGGGGAGTGGATCAGGAAGAGGGGGCGTGTCACACTCACAGCATGGAGGTGGGGGGTACTTCCAACCACTACAGCAGGAATAGCAGCATTTCTTGAAGTTTACAGGCAGGTGCAATGCAGCACTTAGGAAATTGTAAAACATGATTTGTGGTACGATTGACAATCTTGGGCAATCTTGGATGCATGAAAACACAGTCTTGAGAATTCTTGCATTGGTATACTGGTTGTTGGAAATAATGAAATGACTTGATCATTTCAGGAGTCTCGTGTGCTGTAGATATACGCGAGTAGTGCAACATCGAGGTTGTCAGAAAGAACTCAAGTCACTAACCACTGAGTTAAAAGGGCTTGTTAAGTAGCGAATAACTGCGCCCATAACCACCCCAGATAGATAGATGGCCGGTATGTCAAACATCACTCATGTTGTTACTGTAGACTCTACAGGTTTGTGCCTTAGAGGGTACAACACACTAGTCTATATTGCCCTGTATCTTCCTATTCTAGTCATTCTCTCTTTCTAATATGGTATCATGAGTAGGTTAGGTTCCTCTCGCCCTCCCGCGCTTCCGCCCTACGCCCTAGCACCCCCCTCGTGCCCCGCCCCTAGCTGGCCCGCCCTGGCCGCTTCGCGCCCGCTCCTAGCCGGCCCCCTGGCCGTCGGGCCCGCCCCTCGCTAGCCCCCTGGCCGTCGCGCCCGCCCCTAGCCGGCCCTCTGGCCGTCGCGCCCGCCCCTAGCTGGCCCCCTGGCCGTCGCGTCCGCCCCTAGCCGCCCCCCTGGCCGTTGCGCCCGCCCCTTGCTGGCCCCTGGCCGTCGCGTCCGCCCCTAGCCGGCCCCCTGGCCGTCGCGCCCGCCTCTAGCCGCCCCCCTGGCCGTCGCGCCCGCCCCTAGCTGGCCCCCCTGGCCGTTCGCGCCCGCCCTACCTGGCCCCCTTGGCCGTCGCGCCCACTCCTAGCCGGCCCCCCTGGCAGTTCGCACCCACCCCTAGCTAGCCCCCTGGCTCTCGCGCCCCTCCTAGCCGGCGCCCTGGCCGTTTGCGCCCGCTCCTAGCCGGCCCCTCGCGCCCCTGTCGCGCCTGCTCCTCGCCGGCCCCTCGCGCCTATCCTTCGTCGGCCCACCCCCCTCTTCTAGCCGGCCCCAGGTTCGCTACACCGCCGGCCCGTCTCTGCCTCGTGCCCCGTTCGTCCTTCTCCGATCTGCACTGCCCTGCACCGCCCGGAGCCGCTCTCCACCACTTGGCACCGTACTCCACCGCCCGGCACCGCACTGCACCGCACTGCACCGCGCTGCACCACACTGCACCGCCCTGCAACGCACTGCACCACACTGCACTGCCCTGCACCGCCCTGTACCGCTCTGCATCGTTCCTAATGGCAAAGGTACTGCGCTTCGACACTGAGGGTCAGCCGCTTGAGTTTGACGCGTGGCTGGTCGACCTCCGTCGCCATCTCACTGGTCAGCGGCAGGATGGCCACTCGCTGTCTGTCCACCTTGACGGTAAGCTCCCCTGCCCTGACCCCCCTGCTGCGCTGCCTGCTGACCCCTCGTCTGCTGAGCGTGAGTCCGCTGCCGCTGCTGCCCTTGCTCGCTCTGTCTGGCTGTCGCGTGACGCTGTTGCGCAGCTTGCTATCAGCCATGCCCTCCCACTTTCTGAACGCCCTCGCTTTATGTCCGTCACGACTGCGCAGGCGTTCCTCGATGCTGTTGTCCAGCGCTATTCCACCCCGCCTGCTGCCTCTGTAGGTCGCCTGATCCTGCCGATGTTTTTCCCTGACCTTGCGTCTTTCCCTACTGTTGCTGACCTTGCTGCCCACTTGCGCACGTTAGACGCGACCTGGCGCTCTGCCTGCACTGAGACCCAGCTTATAGCTCATCAGCCGCCCCTCTCCTCTGCCCTTTACCTGCTAGCCACCCGCCTCCCTGACCGTCTTGCCACTGCCCGCGACCGCTTCCTTAGCGTCCACCTCGGTGACCTCACCCTCACCGACTTTGTCGACACCCTGTCAGCCATAGAGACCCACCACCGCTCTATCGCCCATACTAGCGGTACTGTGCCGGTCCCCGTCTTTCAGGGTTGTGCCCCTGCCCAGTGCACCTTCTCCGACGGTTCTGCTGCTGTGGCTGAGACTGCTGCTGCAGCGCAGCTCCGTCCGGGGAAGGGTCGCCGCCCCAAGGCTGGGTGCGGCGGAGGGGGTGGGGGTGCAGGTGGAGGTGGTAGTGGAGTCGGAGCGCCTGGTGGTGGCGCAGACGAGGGGACTGCCCCTGGTGCCGTTGGGCAGCCGTCCCAGCAGCCGCAGCCGTCGCAGCTGGACCAGCACCACCCGCAGCCGCAGCCCTAGCTCTAGCCACAGCAGCCACAGCAGTAGAGGCGGGCGAGTGGTCTCCTGCCCGGGTGGCCTGGCGCTGGTGGCAGCGGTGGACGTGGTGGTGGACGTGCGCGTGGTGAGCTCCCGGGTGGCAGTTCGGGTGACGGGCGCTGCCAGTACGAGCTTCTGACTGGTCCTCGCCGCGGCTCCGTTTGTGGTAAGACGGGTCACTCCCCTGCTTGCTGCTTCCGTCGCCTTGACGACCTGTTTCGTCTTCGCTTCGGCCCGTCACCCGACCTCCCTGACTGGTTCAGCTTGCTTCGTCGTAGTATTCCGATTTGTTATATGGACATGGATGAGCTTAGCTCTGCCCTGTATGTGCTGTATGCTAATGACTCTAGTGTGACTGGTTCTTACTACCCCGTGTTGCCTAGTGTAGGTGTGCCTAGTCGTGCCCCCCTGCTGCGTCAGGCGTAGGACCTTCTGCTTTGTTTAGCCTTGGTTCTTCCGTCGCTGCTTCGGCCCCGGCCGCCACTGCTACGCTCACCTTCACCCTGGACTCTGGTGCTTCCCGGTGTTTCTTCCGCGACTCCACTACGCTGTCCTCGCTTGCTGCTCCTGTTGTGGTTTCCCTTGCTGACCCCTCCTCCGGTCCGGTAATCGCTCGTAGTTCTACCACCCTTCCCTGCTCGGCGGCTCCTTCCGGCTCGCTCACAGGCTTGCACGTCCCCTCGTTTTCCAGGAACCTAGTTGGTGTTGGGTGCCTCCAGGACCTTGGCGTTTCTTGGTCACGAGCGGCTTGCTGTCTGTATTGAGGCCGCCATAGGTGCTCCCCTCGCTACGTTCCCCCGGGACCCAGTGTCTAGCCTGTTTACACTGGAGACCGCGCCCCCCCCCCCGGTTCGGACGCCTCCCCAGGTAGCTGTGTCGTCTCAGGTTGCAGCGGCCTGCTCGTGTCGGTCGCTTACTCACCCGACCCTCCTGTGGCACCACCGTCTAGGTCACCCTGCGCTCCCGCGTCTCCGCCACATGTCACAGCATGGTCTTGTCCTAGGTTTCCCAGGGTCGTTCCCCGAGTTGCCCCCCTCCACAGCGCCACCGTGCACGCCCTGCGTCGAGGGTCGGCAACACCGTGCCCCTCACTCCTCCTCTTTCCCCCCCACCACCGCACCGCTACAAACCTTGCACATGGACGTCTGGGTCCCCGCCCCCGTCCATGGACCACGTCGCGAGTGCTACTTCCTCGTGCTTGTCGACGACTACACGCGCTACACCACGGTTTTTCTCTTGGAGCGGAAGGCCGACGTGGCTGATGTTCTTATCCCCTGGCTAGTTTCTGCACGTGTCCACCGCGGTCTCCCTGTCCTGCGTCTTCACTCTGACCGTGGTGGCGAGTTTGCCTCCGGTGTCCTTGGTCGCTTCTGTCATGCAGAGGGCATCACCCAGACGTTCACCCTGCCGGACTCGCCGCAGCAGAATGGGGTCACTGAGTGACGCATCGGTTTGGTCATGGAGGTGGCTCGTACCTCCATGATCCATGCCGGTGCACCCCATTTTCTGTGGCCGTTCGCGGTTCGCTACGCTGCTCACCAGCTTAACCTGTGGCCACACTCTCAGCGGCCGCAGTTTCGCCGACCCTTCTTTGGACCGGGTCTCCTGGTGACGCATCTGCGTTCCACGTCTGGGGATGCCTTGCTCACGTTCGTGCCTTCGGCACGAACAAGCTTACTGCCCGCACTGTCCCCTGTGTCTTCCTTGGTTTCCCCCTTGACTTGTCCGACTGGCACTTCTACCACCCGCCGTCCCACCGTTTCTTTCACTCTCGCAACGTTACCTTTGACGAGTCCGTTTCCTTCTACCACCACTTTCCGCACCGTGGTCCCCCGGTTACCCCCCCCGTGTTCCTGGTTCCCCCGTCCCTCGTAGCCCCAGCCCCCCCCCCCCCCCCCCCGCGTCCTGCCCTGTCCGGTGTGTCTCACGTCACTCCCCTCCCGTCGGCTGTCCCAGTTGAGGAGTCTGCTGACTCTGGTGGTCCTGCGGCCCAGTCCTTGCAGCATGCCTCCCCCCCGTTGTCTCCTCCTCTGCCGCCGCAGCAGTAGTCGTCGCCGCTGCCGCCGCCCGCCTAAGCCGTCACTGCCGCAGCAGCCGTTCGTCCTCTCTTGTGGTGCTGGAGTTGGGAGCGGTACCGGTGCTGGCGGGATTTCCGGCTCTGGGTGTTCCCTCTGGGGTGCAGGCATGGAGTGTTCCGGCGGTAGCCGTGGAGCTGCTGGCGGTCCTGGAGTCGGTGTTGTGCCGCAGCAGCCGCCGTCCCCGCCGGTGTCAGCCCTTCGCGTGCTCGGCCTTCCGTCCCCTTCTCTTCCGGTCAACGGCCCTGTATCCCTCCCCTGGACTCGACCCCGGCTCGTCTCCCCCCTCATTCCCTCTTGTGTCTCCTCCTCTTTCTCCTGACCCGACACCTCCGTCGCACGTCTGGTCTCGCCGTCCCTCCGTGCTCGCCCTGTCTCCCCTGTCTCGCGCTCCCACCCTATGTTGCTTCGTTCCCACGTGGCTCTTCCTCCCCTCCTGCCGTCGCCTCCTCCGTCCTCCCTTGTCATTGCGCCTCCCCCTCTGTCTGACTTCCTTCGTGCCGCCCGTCCTCTTGTTCCACGGGTCCTTGCCTCTCTTGTTACCGACCCGTCTGTTCCGGTTTCGCGCCTTGACGCTCTTGTCGCTGCGGTCGCTGACTTCGCCTCTACTCGTCGCCTTGACTACGCCACCGCTCTCGTCTCTGAGCCTGCCTGTCCTCCGTTTGTCGGGGGTGCTCCTGCCCTTGGCAATGACGTCCTGGAGGACCGCCAGTACGAGCTTGCTTTCCTGTCCGAGGCTGCTCCCCATCTCTCTTCCATGCTGCTAGTCCTTGAGGGTGACCCAGACACTTTCGACATCCCGACCCCCCGCACTTACGCTGA